TCCTAAATTCCAGAAGCTTCTAGACACCATTTACTTTTCAAACCTGTCGCAATTAGTCCACTCTTCGACCAGAAACGATAGTGTTCTAGACTTAATTTTCACTAATGGCACCTTCCCTCGATCTATGGATTTTTATTATGCCATTTTTGCGAGTGATCATGCACTAATTCATTGTTGCCGTCCAGTTGCCATTTCCGAAAAGCTAACAATTCAACATAGTATTTCTGACTTTGCTAATATTAACAAGGGATTAGTAAATAACTTTACAAGCAATCTTGATTGACACAATATTTTTTTCAAACAATGATCTAAATTTTTTCAACTATTTATTGCAATGCGTAACAGAGGGTCTTCTAAAGACGTTCAAATGGAGTGCAACTTCCACCGCTGTCCCACACTTTCTGAAGAATAGATTTTAAAAGCCACGGAAGCACCTTAAAGATCCTTCTGTGAGCTTATTATCAGTTCATCTAAGAATCGTCGAAATATTTGAATTAGCTTCGAAAATGCGGTTCGCGCAAGATAGGCGTAGAGAGTCTGTAGCGGCCGAGAACGTCAAGGATAGCACACACCAGAGTAAGAGAACGCTGATAAGAGATCTTGACCGGTGTAGACCTGAACGGAACCGTTAGCATTCCTTGATACACATCCATGCACACGAGAAGAAGGCATGTCGAATAAGGCATAACGTATAATATGACGAGATTGCATGGGGAAAACGCATAATAATCGTAATTGTACAGGAAGGATGGTTACATCTGTAGAATTACCTGTGTGGGTGGAGAAGCGATGCCAACATGCCAGCTAGTAAACCGGTGGGGAGCGCAGCGCTGGGGGCAACTGCAGGGAGGGGCCGAGGGTGTGCCGATGTAGCGAGGAGGCGAGCGGTACGGACGATAGGTTACGTTACGGTACGACGAGGGGGAAAGGGATCGGCAGAAGAGAGAGGGAGGGACACCGGCTATCTTCACCGACACGCGACTACGCCATCCCCACCCTAGGTCCTCGCGCCAAAAGTGCTCACACATTCAAACAATTCTGTTCGCGCCGAGTAGCGTTACAAGTCTTGAGTTACTATTGGTCGGACCGACTGAGCACAACGGAATTATTCTGCGCTCCAACTGGGACTATTTCGACTTGGTTACCATCTCACATTTATCGTCTCTGACACTGATCCTGGAACCGTACGTACAGAATTACTTTGTGCATTTTTGGAATATTTTTTCGCGCGTCGAAATTCGCCAGGAACCTGGATTAAGTGCAATTTGTTTGTCAGCACGGTCCAACTGACTACGGGTCTGACTGCGCAACCGAGTCGTGGCTACACAGCCTAGAAATCCAATTGCTCAAAAGGCTTCAAGGTCTGCAGTCATTCAAGTCCTACGAGATCTGCAAGGGACTAAGTCGCTTCTGAATAAATGCCACAAAATTTGTTGACTTTTAAGTATTTTTGTCGCTTATTGAGTTTTGAATACACACTTTAAATTGTCATATATAAGCCGACGTATTCGTTATAACATAAAAATCGAAATTATACCTATTATATCATGTCGAAGTTTATGGAGTCTCAGAAAGCTAACTGTAATAGTACGGCCAGCGACGGCACCTCGTTGGAAGATAAGTCTGGTAAGATGTCCTTCGCATCAAGAACCTGTGCTCGCTCTACCTGCGCTTCCAGCCAACGACCAGCAAAGCGTGCAAAAAGCGTAATTACCGCAAAAAGTGTGAAGTACGAAGGCGAGCCTTGTGTTGGGTACGCAGATATCCAAATCAAAGTAGAACAACTCGAAAAGTAGCTTGCTGACTTAAGGACGCTCGTGAAACAGATCCTAGACTAAAAGAATGTGTCCAGTGTTAGAGTCCCAAAAACGAAGAGCTAAACGCAAAAAACGTGAAAAAATATCCCCTCGGGGCATCTTCAAGCACGAGTTACAACTCAGTAGCCAAAACCGCAGACGCCGGTAACGGCAGGACAACGATAATTACATACTCGATTCCCACGCAAGATGTCTTAAGCGAAGTCACAAAAAATTACCTGTCGCGGAAGTCATCTCGCCTAAGCCTCTTGCTGTAAGTGACCGGATTTCTCTTTTGCCTGGAGACGATATACCTGGGTCTTCCAGTCCTTCAGTTGTCCGCTTGTTCTGGCAACCACCCCGAGCGCACTTCAGAGCACGTACCCGAATGCGAAGACGTGAACCCGTGGGTAGACGGGAGAGGGAAACGCCATGACAGTAGTTTGAAGTCACAACCAGCCCTGATGGATTGCTCGAGACAGTCGGTAGACAGCAAAAGTGTGCGTCCAAGCGACGACTCATTAAATAGTCCTCGCCCACATGCAGCGAATTCACCGGAAAGACACAGTAAGGAGGACCATGCTCGGCAGCAGTGTCTGGTTATTCTGGGTTTGTCAGAATCGAATGCAGTCAGACCTGAAGACCGTACCTCGGAGGACCTTGCTTCTGTCATGGTCTACTAAATCAGTTGCTCCAGACAGACATGGAAATAAAGGTTCTGAAAGCATTCTGGATAGGAAAAAGGAGTGAAGACAGGACAGAAGCACAACCACCTCGCCCTCTCAAAATTATGCTGGAGAACAAAGAGCAAATCAAGTTTATCCTCTCTAAAAAAAATCGATCTCAGAAACACACACAAACAGGTTTTTTTCAACCGGACTATTCCCCAGCGGAACGGCTGGAACGCCGGGAAATTGTCTTGGAGTTAAAATGAAGACTGAAGGGTGGCGAACACAATCTGGCTATCTTCAAGGGGAAGGCAGTTCGGAAATATATACCGTTTCAAAGGAATCAGCTACGACAGCTACTCAGCTAACACAGACACCTTCGTTGAACAACCTGCTCAAGGCGGCAACACAAGTAAGCGCGTAACGTCCGGTGATCTGACTAAAGCAACGCATATAAATGGAATCCATCAGGCAACGGAAGAGCCCAGAGAACATGGCGTCCGAGATGACGGAGTAATGCTCAAAACAGTAACAAATGCAACGGGAGACTTGGCTAGTGCAAAACTGAGGTGCTTGTTCGCGAATGCCCAAAGCCTTATATCAAAACTAGACGAGTTAAAACTTTGCCTTGCCGAGCTGTCTCCAGATGTTTTAACAGTAACCGAGACCCGGCTGTCCGGAAATACTAGCGATAACGAAGTAGCCTTGCCTGGATACCAAATTTATCGGAGGGACAGGGAACATCGTCAGGGTGGTGGTATTGTTGTGTATGAAAATGAAGGCCTAGCAGTGTCGGAAAACACCACCAAGTTTGCGTGCTGCACGGAAGCTATTTGGTCGACCATCAAGGCTACCGGTTTCCCGTGTCTCGATGTCCTCACTGTCTACCTACCACCTTGGAGAGACCAAATCGCCGACAATCAACTATTGGAGCAGTTGGAGAAATTTTCCAGTCGACCTAACATCATGATCATGGGCGACTTCAACGCACCAGGAACAAACTGGAATACCGTCCAAGCGTCTGGTCCAAAATCGGCATTCGATTACCGCCTGTTGAGCAAAACATTAAATGCGTGCCTCACACAACATGTAATGTTCCCAACGAGAACACGTGAAGGACAAAGGGCAAACTGCCTGGATCTGGTTTTTACAAAAACACCAGACAGCATAGACGAGATCACCTTCATGCCGCCCTTGGCCGAAATGATCACGTAGTGCTTATGTGGGATTATTCGTTATTCTCCATTTCACATACTCCAGACCACAAAAGACGGAATGTTTGGCGAGGCGACTTCAATCACATGTGGGCAGACTTATCCGGTGTCGACTGGGGTTCATTGCTTACGGGAAATGCCAACGATGACTGGGAGCTGCTCAAGAATGTCCTTCTGCAGCTCATCAACAACCACTGCCCACTGACTAGTGTTAGACTGAACAAACGCCCTGGGTGGCTAAATAGCAACCTTAAGAAATAAATCAACAGGGAGCACAAATTGTGGAGAAAATACTGCGTCACTGGGCAAGTTGAATATTTCAAAACCTACAAATCACAGATGAACAAATTGCGGAACCTGATCATGAAGACCCGGCGGGAATTCGAGAAGAACTTGCTACAAAAAGCAACGCAGAACCCAAAATTGCTCTACAGCTACCTCCGACGAACTACAAGGAACAGGCAACAAACCCTTTGATAAATACTACTGATGGCGTTGAGATCGCTGATAGTAGGGATGAAGCTGCGTATTTTTCACAGTTCTTCCAATCAGTCTACACAAACGAGACAAGGTTCCTTCCTCCCTCCACAGAAGAACTGCCGACCCCAAGCGTCAGTGATATACTCTTCTCAGAAGGTATTGTCCGAAGAAAATTACATTCATTGAACGAATCGAATTCGCCAGGGCCAGACGAGATTCCACCCGAACTTCTTAAGGAACTTGCCAGTGAGCTTTCTGTGCCTTTGTTGATGCTCTTTCAAACGTCATTTGACACTGGAACACTTCCTATCGATTGGAAGTTGGCGCATATTACTCCGCTACACAAAGGAGGTAACAGGGCAGCGACGGAAAATTACAGGCCCATAAGCTTGACATGTATTCTCTGCAAAGTTATGGAAAGGATCATAAAGAGTGGACTGATGCAATTCCTGGAAATTCACGGCCTGCTATCGAAATGCCAACATGGGTTCCGAAAAGGAAGATCCCGCTCGACAAACTTGCTGCAATCTCTCCAGAGCTGGACCCGAGATCTCGACGACAGGCACGCGGTCCACATAGCCTTCATCGACTTCCAGAAGGCTTTCGACATTGTGCCACACCAAAGGCTCTTACATAAGCTGAAAAAAATAGGGATCGGTGGCAACTTCCTTAAATGGACCGAAAACTTCCTTGTGGGTCGACACCAGGTTGTGTGCATCGGTCGGGGAAAATCAGATGTGGCTATGGTCGATAGTGGTGTCTTCCCGGGCTCAGTACTGAGACCCATTTTGTTCCTTATCTACGTGTACGATGTCGCAAGAGATTTAGACTGTAAAGTGGCAATGTTTGCGGATGACATGAAGATATGGATTGTAATTCGGGGTCCTGCCGACGAAGACAGACTGCAGATGAACCTGAATCGGTTGGAGGAGTGGTCAAACCGTTGGCTTCTGCGGTTCAACGTTGCCAAATGTAGCATACTTCGCCTTGGCAACACAGCCAGATCCGCCAGCACAAGAAACTACTTTCTGGGTGGTGTAGCCCTACAAGAGGTCGAAGCCCAAAAGGACCTCGGTGTGCTGACGACGAGTTCCCTAAAGCCATCCACCCATTGCTCGAGAGTGGCAAAAAGCGCGATGTCCGTAGTGTACGCCATCAAGCGTGCGTTTCTGGAATTTGACGAAGATGCTTTTTCAAAGACCTTCGGAACATTCGTCCGGCCGCATTTAGAATGCGGCATACAAGCCTGGAGGCCGTGGGCTGTTGAGGATCAAAACTGCCTCGAAAGAGTCCAAAGGAGAGCCACGAAGATGGTTAGGGGTCAAAGCTCCTTTCCTTATGCAATCCGCCTAGTAAATCTGCACCTCTTTCCGTTGAGTTACAGGCCACTTCGCGGGGATCTCTTGCAAGCCTTCGGCATTTCTGATAAGGGATCCTAGGAAGCGATACTACACACAAAAGGAGGAAATGTGGGCGGATACGACGATTTGCAAGCGGCGTCCTAAATTCCCGGTGGCCCTTTCTCGGTGCCATAAAGAAAGTCGTCCGGAAAGGATGAGGAATGCAAAAATTTAATCGAATCAATACTCAGAAAAAGGCGCTGCCTCTTCTGAAAAGTGTTTAGATTATCTGAAGATCTCGTATTTATTAGAAGATTATTTTAGAGAGGAAGTATACCCGGGCAACTTTCTCCATGACCCCGAGAAAGGGCCACCGGGAATTTAGGACGCCTCTTCCAAATCGTCGTATCCGCCCATATTTCCTCCTTTTGTGTGTAGTATCGCTTCCTAGGATCCCTTATCAGAAATGTTAATTTTTTCGATTTTTCAGTTCATATATCGTGCCCCTCCCCCACAGAATGCGCCCTATTGACGCTCTCAGCGGAACCCTCTGCATTCGCCATATATCATTAGTCTTGTCGCATCTCCCTTGCCCCCTCCTCAGCTGGACTCGGCTCACTGTAACCGATCGCATCTGAGTTCCTATCGCCTCGAGACTGGTTTTCTATTCGCCATTTAATATGAATGGCCTCACCCGGCATTTGAATTCTGTCTTGGTGATGTCCGTTTCGAACCTTTTATTCAATACCACATAAAGGCCAGTTCTGCCTGACCCGCCTACATATCCCTTCATGAACTCCGTTATACACTGCCACATACTGGCCGGTGGGGGGATGCGTTAACTAAAGCACTTGCAGAGCGCGAAACCCAAAAAACCAAATAAAACGTTGATTAGTAAAAACAAACAAATGGTGAAGTACAGAATGGTAGAGAAGCAGAGGAATATGGTAACCAGAGTGATAGTGCGATAGCAAATTGCCTTTCAATTATGGCATGTCCAACTGACTATCGTAAATATCGAACGTCTGCCGTACAGTTCACCAGTTACATATGTTAAATGATTAGAACATCCTTATTGCCATATCCAACTGGATGGCGTTTCTGGACGGACCACTGAAAGCCAAATGCCGTGAAAAATGTAAAGTTTGGGTAAACTGCGTGAAACTTTCAAAAAGGACAGCTATATGGTTACCGTACTGACAGTACTAATTAACTATGCTAACGAACCAATGAGGCGGGGCCATGAGGGGGCCAGAGGGGGCTGGTGCTGGCAGGGAACTATACTAACTATATAACTAGCTATATTAACTTATTAGCCAACTAACCATACAAACTAACCAACTAACCATTCTAACTAACTAACTAACTAACTAACCAACTATTCTAACTAACTAACTATACAATTTAACTGACTAGCAACCTAACTGTACTAAATATTTCACGAAAATTTGGGGAAACAGCGTGGAATTTTCAAGGCGAGTAAATATATAATAACTTCTTACTTGACCGACTTTCTTAAGGACATCCTCCGGGTCTCTCAGTGACTGGAAGTTTGACTCAAGCCTAACTTCACAAAATGCAAACTCAAGAATAGTCCCCGAGGCCGTCGCGGCTTGCGTGAAAATGTTCGACCAATCATTATTCAGCACTCTGAAATCCGTCCGCATATCGCTTTTTTTAATCACCTGCCTGGGTTTGCGGTCCTTATTCTCTTTTCTCTGGTGATATTGTTATCTGACACGGTTGGGTCTTACACATGTATTCTGCCGTTGCTCAAGAAAACTCGGGGAACATTAGCCTAGATAGTTTCCGCAAGCTTCTCCAGAACAAAATTCCCTCAGCGGGATGCACAACATCTTCACTGTCGGAGAGTGCTGGGCATCCAAATTGCTTTAGAGTAAACCCTTTGGGGAATGATGGAGCTAACTCACGTAATTCTCTTTTCTGCTTTTCGAACTGTAGTAACCGTATCCATGTCTGTTGACCGTACTCCGGAGGTATTTATGTCTCAGCATGACGCTAAGGACACGATTAGTTGCTGTTATTCCAGTGACATCCTTGAGGTTTTCGGTTCTCAAATACAGCTAGTTATTACTTTCAGAAACTATTTCAGGTGAAAAGCCAACCTTGGCGTTTTCTGCTCCAAAACATAAATTGGTCCAAATTAAGGATTTTGGACGATTTTCTCCATCCGAATTTGCCTGTGTATGAGGAGTTGTCTTCGTTGATTGTGGAGTCAGGCGACAGTCACAGTCCGATTTGCAATGTTTCTTTTGTGACTGACAATAATACCTTGTCTGTCCACTTCGACTTTCGTTCACGTTTGTCCACCTTGAAATGCACACTCCAAATCGACCAGTATAAAACAGCCCGAGTCAGTATAAATGCTGTCGACGTCCACGAAAAGTACGTTTCGCTCCTTTCACAAAATGCCTAGATACAAGCCATTTGTTGACTTCTCGTCTTCTCGCCCGTTCGATATACGCCAAGATCGGCTGTCTTCCTGCGTGTCTGCTTATGCGACCCAGTTAGAACGGAAAGTTGCGACCCTCGAGAGGACTTGGGAACAAGTTTGCATACTTGTCAATACACTGAGAACCAACTATCCTGTTCAATTAGCCGATTATACTGCTTTCTGTATGCCTATACACCTGGCTGTGAAGTCTGGAGAACGGTCTTTCATTTCAAGTAAGTTGCCAAAGATACACTTTTTTGCTGTCATAAAAATCGTCATGTTGCAGTCTCTTGAAGGCGGTCATCTCTGTCCTCAGAAAAACAGTAACAGAAGGAGGCGGCGTGACTGCTGGCCGTCCGGCGCTCAGACCTCGTCCATAAGACCGTTGAATAAATTATTACGCGCCCTGGTCTGGCATACAACTAGTCGTGGGTCATACGACTGTGATGCCATGAAACGTAATTGTGTGTCAAGTCATTTGCTTAACGAGGTTGCTTTGGAAGACTCGCGGTACAGGTCGGTCCCCTACGGTCGTCCTGTCCGTCGGACCAAGTAAGGGCGACTACCTTACTTTGCGCCGATAGCCGTAGTAATCACGGAACAGCTCTTTTTTATACGCAGTTTGTTCCCCGGACTTAAAGACATGTTCTTGAGCGCGAAGTCTTTTGTAAGTCAGCAGAGTCCATGTTTTGTAATTACAAACCAGACTAGCCTTTAATGTTGCCCTTGCCCGCGAATCATTTTGGCTGAGGCTTACGGCAAGTTATTTTTGGGGTGCCAACAGACGCAGTGCATTTTATCTCCTACAATAAAACCAATGTATTAGTTCTTTGCTTCTCGACTAATACTTCCGGCTGTTTCAACATTGACGGTTGTACATTCCGGACTTTTAAGACGTAACCACCGGAATTGTCTTTAGACGTAGGAAAAGATTGGCCGTTTGCTACCGGAACAACGTTCACTGCTTGTTGAGGGTCAGATTGCTTAACAGTCCAGAATCGAGCACCCAGCGTTTACCTAAGATAATGTAGTCAGTATGACTGACGCTCCTTCGAACGTACTAATCTCATTGCAATCTGTATTTTCTGTCTTTTCGTTATCTTCGTGGTAGTCCAAAGAACCCGTTGTCCTCAGAAGAACTAAGTATCCGGCTGCTATTTTGCAATATTATTGACAGGAAATTTTCCGCATATACTGCTTACGTAGATATTGGGCCTCGTGTGCAATTTTTCTGCATTGCTGTAGTGTGTCTGAATCCGTTCCAAGACCTTTCGCACGCTGCCTCCTTTGTGAACCAGCGGATGGTTGCTGTGAAAACTGGGAAGCTTTATGGCGCTGGGTGCCTTTCTGTAAACCGTTGTCTCTATTCCGCCGTTTGGGATTTCGCTTGACGAGCACATCGAGGAAGGATAGACGCGGTCTCCACATCCGGTGATCGCATCTTCTTTTGAACGGTATTCTGTGAATTGCCTGTTCGCTTCTATCAGCAATCCTCAACTTTCTTGCAGAAGACTTCGTGCGCCAAATTCGTCAGGATGAGTGTGAAAACGACGTCACTTCGAAGGAGGCTATGATTTTGTCCGGTCAAATCCTCCATCGTCGGAGTTCTAGGAAAAGTTGAGAGGTTGATCTGACTATAGTAGCCGTATTGCTTTTAGATTTCAGTTTTAAGTGGCAGCCTTTTGGGACAACTGTTGGCCGCAGTGGAACGTTTGATTTGTGGATCTTTAGCAAACTATAGAGACGGATCTAGACTCTTGCGCATTAGCGTGCTCTTTGTTGTAGTTTTCAAGTTACCCCCTTTTCGACTATAGCACACGCACTGACCTATGACCTTGCTACCTTTTTACCCACTTTCTGAGCCAATTAAACATGTTGTATACTCCTCATTCGCTATTTGTGTTATGCAGCGTCGAGTAGCAGTTGATAAGCTGTCGCGGAATTTATGGGTGCCATTGGATTTTGCAGTTTATGTTTAAGTTCTCACCGAAGACAGTGCGTCAAGTATTTGAATCATCACTGTTTATGTGCTCCTGCCTTTAGAAGTGCGTAGGTTGCAGTAACTGGTGCTGAAAGATGTTATTTCAAATGCCCAGCCTTAGGTCTGCAGAGGAGACCATACATAATGTGTTTCCTCGTGGACCTCGTAACTCGCTCTATTCCATACATTGTTTATCGCGGTGGAGTCAAACAGATGTTATATAGATCACCGGCCTTACTAAACTCTCGGGCGAGGTCTTGACCCGCAGGCCAGTGTTGATGCGTGGATCTTTTAGCGGCAGGCGACATTTTATATGCCTCAATCTCACTTCAGATTCTAGCCTCTTGGAAAATCAGCGTGCTATGTACCTGTTCACTTGTCACGCTTTCCCGCTTAGTTCGAATGTTTTCCCTACTACCGGATCGACGATTTATCATTCTTCATCTTTGAGCGTACCAGACCATCCATATATGCATTAACTGACTGCCCACATTCGCGCTATTTCCGTTTTCCCTGAACATACTCGTGTGGATTTTGGGGGCAGCCAAGATCGGAACTTTCGTACGCTGTCCTATTGGAGCAGAAACTACGTACCTCCAGAGGCCACTATGTTGTGTTGGGGCAGAGCCCTCCTATTCAGTTTAACACCCGCTTCTTTAGAGTGATACTAATAAAACGAAACTGGGTCCTTATTTCTTCCTAAAGTTCTCCGTTGTTTTCATGGTGGGTTAGAGATATTTGAAGCGGCGATCATAGTATCATTAGACGTGTCGGGTCATGACAGATTGGCGCGTTCTTTACACCTTCCCTCTCTTCGCTTGCATTGACCTGTCGGACTGAACTCTTAATGCAGTATCTTCGATAAACGTCAAGTTTACCGGACTTGTTCTGTTTCTCAGAACGACGGCCGCGCATGGAGTTATGATAATGCGGACTATGAGGATGCCGGTGCTGATGACGCTGCTGCCAGCGGTAATGGGGATCATACGTACTTTTGACCAGTTTGTGATGTCAGACATTTACAACGCAATCGCAATACCGTCTGTATTTAAAGTAGATTTCGGAGGTACAGCTCTTTTTCGCCTGTGATTCCGTTACCAGAGCTTTGTAAGCGCCACATATACTCATTCGTAGTTGAAGTCAGCAGCGAACCACTCCTATCCCAAAGTTGTACTCACTGAAGAAATTGCCGCCTTCCGCGTTATCTATATTTCTCATTACGTTGACCGGCACGACCCGTATGTTTATTTTAATAGTACTAGATGCTTTGCACAAACCTGCTCGAGCTGGACTTCTCTATTTCCTCCTCTTTAAACGGAGGTACCACTTATCCTACGGCAATGCTTGCGTCTTCTCCTTACTGCATAGAGAACGTCATTCGACCCTTTATGCCCTGTTTCTTAGACCAAAAACAACAAGGGAGAAATATAACTGCTTTTGGTTTATATTTCAGGCTTTTGATCTTACGTATCTCGCCTTTTGTATCTTTGGTCATTTTCTTCGAATTTCAGTCGCAGTACTTTCTGACAAACCGCCGACTGGGGACTCCTATCGTGTCACGTTAATGCTCCGTAGGTTCCGTTCTGTACGTATTGCGAGCAGAGATTTCGACCTCAACCGGTTGGCTGAAATTCATGATTACGTGACAAAATACCTGAAGATTTCCCATACTAATACCAACTTTTCCTAAAATTCCCTTCTCACGAACTGCCTCCTACCTTCACTTTCTCAGTTTATCTTACATCTCCAGTCAAAACCTTGAGAGCATGTCATTTTTTTAATCCTTTTAATTACAGTGCTTGGTCTGTAAAACGATACGGTCATCGCGCTCGGCCTCCGTTTCTGCGCATTTGGTTGCACTCTCGTGAGACTTTTCGGTCAACTAGTCTTTTTCTCAGTCCCATGAGCCCGACACGAAAATTTGCGACCATTGGCCGCCGTTACATAATCATTCCACGCCAAAATGTGACCGAAGGTAGTTTTGTGAGCCAGTTCAGATGACAGTGTTAGCTAGGATGACGTGTGTGCCTTAAGCAGTGTGGTAACTGGGCCCAGTTAAGAGACAAAACGCCGATATGCAGCGTATATTCCGTACAGCACGCGACCCATGACCGACTCTAGGCCTGCGGACGCAAGTGGCCACGCGTAGCACGGGATCCAGTCCGTGTGGACTTTATCAATCGGTCAGGTGACTAGTTTTTGGGCGCCGTCGATTGGCCGCTAGTTAGGCCGATTATGTGCATGTTTCCTCCGTTCTTAACCCGTTATCACATAATTCCTAGTGCGGTGTTCGATTAAGGTACGAAGGGCATTACACGGGCTTGAGGCACTATAGGCAGTAGTTGCCAGTGGTAGCAATAGAGTTTGGTTTCTACTCCAGAACGAGTTGACGTCAGGTTCCTCTTGGCTGAATTTCCACGAATATTCATTTTCAGGATCAGAGGCCGTATTGATAACGAACAGAAAGAGGCCCGTCATTGATATCAGAATGGATTTTCCCCCTGCACTATCTTTATGCACTCGAACGCGTGGCGCTGCTGTTTCTTGGCGTCAAAGAGTGAATGTATTCGTTTGTCTAATTCTCTGCTTGGTCACAAAAGTGGCCAAGGGCTGCATGCAGGGTATTCCAAATGTCCACCCCAGCTCACGCGTAGTTAGAGTCAACTCGGGGCTCGTCGTGAATTCTGCTCGACGACGCTCTAGACTGGGGTCGAGAATCGTACGATATTTTACGAGACTAAAACAAAGGACTCAATTTGTTTGTGAGGGGAAAAGTTAGGCACAGGGATTTTGCACACGGGTTTTTTCAAATGCCCTAAGTAGCATTAATTTGAGAATTCAGTCCATAGGCTACCAGATTTGTTTTCTTATTTGCTACCGGTGTACGGAAGTGTAAGTATTCAGGAAAATGCAATGAGGCTTTTCACAAGACAGTCGCTGTTATCTTTCGCAACAACAGGATTGGGGTCTTGTAGCTTCCCTATGGTGTTCTCTCGACTACCTACAAACACCCTCGGCTCATTTTCAGGCCCTGACTACCTGTTGCGTCAGCGGCGCTTACAACCTAACGAAGCTTTGAATTTGGTTATATCCTACCAGAAATAATGTTTGCTCCGAATTGCTCTAGCTAAAACGGACGCCCTTTAATAAGCGTCGATTTGTACTCATTAATTGTGAGATTGGTGAAACCAACGGTCGTCAGACGAAGTGGGTAAAGGAGAAATCGGGCTACCGCACTAGAACGTTCGCGAGCACGGAGGTTGCATATATTGGGCGCACATGTATAAGGATTGGACACAAAGTAACGACAATAAATGGCTGAGGGGAACTTAGATTGCGACTTTGCTTGAATGAGGAGTGACCGTTCACTGGAACTCCGGAAAGCTGGATATGTATTAGCAGTTACAAATTGTACACACAGGCGGTATTGAGCATTGCCTTGTTTTTGTTGGACAAGGCGACCACTTCTCTGTCGAGTTGCATTACTGAGTAGAAGCTATCCGTCGAGATGGTGGCTGACAACTTGAAGCAGACAGTTTGAAATTCGTCGAGGTGAGGCTGCCGAAGATTGAACAGAGTAGGGACGACATCATCTCCGGAAGCGGTACTGCTCACAGTTTTCCAGTCCTTGGTATGTGTAGCGGCTAAGCGGTGATGGTGTATGCTCAGTACGCCACAACTTCAGGCCATATCCAAGTTGTTAGAAGCAGGACGCCATTTGATTAGGACACTTTATGCTGTACAGAGTAGTGAAGAGGAAAGTTGGCACCCGGACGAGGATGCGTCCGGCGCCGCGGAGGCGGCGTCCGCGAGAGCAACGAGCCCTGTGTCGCCGAAGGTCGGCGCTGCAAAAGTGTCGTTGCCGATTGTTTACTCTATTGTTCTGGACTGTTCCCGCCTTTCTTACCAATCAGCAATAGGAGTTGCGTTGATTGGCCCCGAGTCCACGCGAAGGTAATGATAAGCCTCGCGTGATGCAGGCAGAGAATCGACCGAATGCGTGGTGCAGACAGTGAATTGCAACGAGACAAATGGAAGCCAGGCAGACGTGCGTGCCATAGCAGGCTGTCGCTAGAACGTATGTAGGTGCAGGCGCTAGCGAGAGGCGCGATGTAGCCATTATGGCTGTCCACTACATATGTACAAGCCCGACGCCACATTCCTATCGCCACGAAGGTCTGCGTGTGCCGGTTATCCCTTCAATCTGTCTTCTTATACGATTGTGAGCAAACACAAGAGGTGTCCGACCACTGCCGCCCAAGGACCATCTCTCGCGTGAAGTACACTGGCTTCGTCTCCAATGAGACGGTCCGCACTCGCTGCGACGGCATCGTGAGAATATCTCAGATCATCCAATAAATACGATTGCAGTAGTTTGGACACGCTTGCCATCCGTCTCACAGGCCCAACGTCAATGCTCTCTATCCGGCGCCGCTGCCCGCTTGGAGTAGTCTAGGAGGAGGTTAACTCGAAGCCTGACTTGGCACAGTTGGTCACGACAGGGAAGTTGTTTTTTGACCCTCAGTATTCGGTCATCGTTGCTGGAGGAGGGGATAATTCGGGGTCTGCAGATCCCCTCCCGCAGATTGTCGCGCGTGGAGAGGCGTAATTCGCTACATCATCGAGACTGGATAGACTGGGCACGATGGTCTCTGTATCATGTAAAAGTACTTCCCAACTTAGGTGGTGATCACCCTCGGCGGATGGGGTAATGCGGACGGTTAGCCAGATACCGTTCGTTTATGACTGGCCGTCGCCAGCGACGTCCCCACAGTGTCCCCATGGGGAGGGCGCAGGGTGGTGATTTACTCGTGAATTAGTTCTTATTGAGGCGTATTTGCGCAATGTCTGCCGTACTCCATTCTCCCTGACCCACCTTGTTCCAGTGACAACAAACTGTCCAGACGACTGAACGTGGGCTCGGGTTGACAAAACTAAACATTCCATCTACGTACGCTGCACACGACCTAGTACCCACTGCATGCACCAGGCTCTCGAGAGCGACTCTGATCTCACTTGCGTGAAAACCACAAAGGCCACGTCAAGAAAGTGCAGCTGCAGTCCGACTCTCAGCACTTCAGTCACTCGAAACTGGCCCTAAGATACCCGTACTAATTATAGATGTCTTGCCGATGCACACCACTGGCACACACAAAGGGGGTTTGCATTTCGGTTAGCTCGAAATAGCCGCTGGGAGCAGGAAATGAGTTAACGTGGTGTTCAGTCACGGAGCGTCTGATGGAGGCTGTCCACGCGGTGAATCTAACGATATTATTTAAGATTCTGCTTCGGACGGAGACTGGGCGTCACCGATTTTCATAAGGCGCGAAAATAATAAGATTAGAACAGTGCGGGCAGTTGGGTCAGGTGAAGCACTTCGAACTGGCACGGCTGGAGTCACTGAGCAAAACAACCCCATGTCCTCTTCTGTCCTCTCCCCACATGACTGACTTGTTCGATTCCGTGCAGACCCAGTCACGCTTAGCCAGTTTTCGCTTAGACCAAGGCCCATTCACCCATATCACCCACCTTAGCACCAAGCGCCACCCGCATGTCTGATCAGCACATCCTACCCCTTGTGTGCCCATCTCGTTTGATTGTCGTTTGCCGTTTCCGTATCTGACTATTAGTTTTAAAGTGTTTTGCATATTTCTTCACCCCAGCTTTGTTAAAACCGATTTAGAGAAAACGATGCTTCCACTTACCGAATAAACTTTTATTATTACTCTCAGCGTCCTCGTTGTGCGAAAGATCACAAACCGGACCGTCTGAAACAGAGAAATTGGTCGCTACTGCGTTAACACGCACAACATAATTTATGTTTTTACCTGTGTATCTACACCGAACATCCTTCTAAGCATGAGTGTGTCCTTTGCGCTCCCAATTGTAAGAATACCTATGCCCGCGCCCGTGACCATTAGTACAAATATAATTACGCATGCAAGTTGAAGGTAGGATGTACGGTGTTCAATTTTGTGCCAGCCATCGTCTGTTTACCTTGGAGATGGAGCAGCAAACCCAACCTCCGAGATAACTCGAGGTTTGGAATGCGCCGAGGGGATCGAACACCGCCCCGCTGAAAAATACGGATCCCGGACAACCAGGAGCTTGCAAGATGGATAAAACGTTGCAGCAATTATTCTGATTTCAGGTCTAAAGGTCTGAAAGCGTGCGCTATACCAGTATCAGCGAGCCATGGTCCTCACAGCCTGACATGCGATGGCAGTTACCTGACACTTGGTTCCCTGCCGGTAGATGCGCTTGCGCTCCTGCTGGGTATACAGGTTGTGGGTTTGGCTGCCCAGTCAGCCTCGTCCTCCTGACCCCTATTGGGGTGTCGTTGCTGTTGGTGGTGAAAAATCCGGGTCAAGTGTATGTTTTGGACTAGGGGGTGTGGTGGCACGTCTGGGTGCGGGTCTGGCCATGCCACCCACCTGCGCCCTCCCTCGCCTCCGGTCTTCTTGACTATATCTTGACAGCAGGAGAGGCGGAGAGAGTGCGGTGGATGTTGCGCAGGTCCACTATCACTATAAACTAATTCACGCACAATTCACCGTGCCCGCTGCATTTGGCTATGTAACACACGGTGGACATCATCGGAATCGACGGCCGAACTGTCAGTCTTTCTGATATGAAGTCGCAGACGTTCAGTAGAGCTTAAGCACTGTAGCTGTCTCGCATGTTCATTGT